GTGGAAAATAATGTGTTTTTTGAACCTTAAACCGCATAAACACATTTCATTACACCAAATACTCAAAATAATGTTCTTTTTAGCAACATCATATGATCCCTTTAAAGTATGATACGGTACTAAACAGTCACCACAGGGTTAGAGAAAATTTAATTATATTTAATCTGTGTTTGGTTGAACAAACATGTTTTGTAATGTGTACTGTTCAAAAGTTTGGGGTCATTTCAAGTAAATGCTGTTCTTTTGAACTTTCTCTTCATCAAAGAATCCTGAAAAAAAAATCCACAAAAATGTTAAGCAGCACAACTGTGTTCAACATTTAAAATTATAAGAAATGTTTCCTGTGCACAAAATCAGCATATGGAAGGCTGGTTTAATGGCTGCAGAAAAAAAAAGTATTTTTGCCATCACTGGAATAAATTATATTTTAAAATATATTATGGTAGTACAGCTATTTGGAACTGTAATAATATTTCACAATATTACTGTTTTTACTGTATTAATAGAGCTGACTGCATAAATAGAGCAGTGATAAGTATAAGAGCAGTGTTGAACGTTAGTGTTAGTGCATTTGTAGTGGCACTGATAATAATAGATATTTAGTGTTTATTCTCATTTATTTGCTTGACATGTTGTCTTTCATTCACTGAAAGTCTTATTTATCTAAACATTTTGGCCACCCATTTATTTTGCGCTGTTACATATCATGTAGCGTTCATTTGATTGTTTTGTATTTATATTGCAGTGCTGAACTATGTCTGTACTCCACGTCAGTCTGCCTCACCCTTCACTCCCAGAATCCTACTGTTTGGACCCCCAGGTTCAGGGAAGAGTCTTCAGGCAAAACTGATTGCTCAGAAATATGGCATTGTCAACAGTAAGCTCCTCCTCAATTTCTGCTGTCACTTTTCCATCTGTACTTTTTCTTATCTGCAAGGTTCAACATTGTAAAAAGGGTAGTTTAGCTAAAATGTAAAATTCTGTCATTACTTATCCTCATGTAGTTTCAAACAACTATGCTGTTATTTTTTTCTATGGAACACAAAAGTAGATATTTTTAAAGGATAATTACGTAGCTCTTGCCATACAGTGACTGTTTATTGTGATCAGGTGTTGTCAAGCTTCAAAACAACACAAAAAAATCATGCAAAGTAACAGTAATTTACTTTAAAGGGGTCATATGATGCGATTTCAATTTTTCCTTTCTCTTTGGAGTGTTACAAGCTGTTGGTGCATAAAGAAGATCTGTAAAGTTGCAAACACTAAAGTCTCAAAACCAGAGATATTCTTTATAAAAGTTAAGAGTTAACCACGCCTACCTAAAACGGCTCGTTCTAACACGCCCCCACATACCTACGTCACGATCTGGGAAGATTTGCATAACGCCGCCCAAATGTTCACGCGAAGAAAGAAGGCGTAACTTTTATTCTCGCTGTAGTATTGTTGACGCTGCAGCCATGTCCTGAAGACGCTGTGTGCTTCGTTGTGAAAGCGAAACTACTTTGTTTAGTCTTCCAAAAGAGGACCATTACACCAAATACACAAAATAATGTTCTTTTTAGCAGCATCATATGACCCCTTTAAAGAGTAAATACTAACCAATGAGTAAATCATTGTACAGCATCCATAGTTTTATGTTGTTTATTTTAAACTTTCTTCTGTTCTTTCTTATATCTCTGTCGCTGTAGTTTGTTGTGGTGAGCTTCTGAAGGCTGTGTCAGCTGATGAGAGCCATATGGGGGAGCTCATTAAACCCTACCTGGAGTCAGAACAGCAAGGTATGCCTCCTCACCTCCTCTATACCTACTGCCAAATGGGTCAATCATACAGAACAAGTGAAACCCCAGTCTGTAAGCTGCAGAGTTCTGTTTCCTGCTTTTGACCAGATAATTGGACCCGTTACAGCCAGAACAGTCTGGACGGTGAACATGTTGTGCTATATTCACATATATGACATTAGTTTATGGTAACTGCATTCTAAATGATTATCTTATAATTTGCAGCATATAATTCTGCAGACTGTTTTGTTACTTTTAATCAAAATCACAGTGCTTGCTGGCCTCTTAGGTTTTTACTGTAGACAGCCAGTACTTTTATATTTTGAACACACCATAATGGTCTAGATGTCTTGACTATCTGTGACCTTTCATTCATCCTCATCATTGTTATTCCCTTCCCATCTCACACCCCCTGTGTCTGCCCAACACTTTCCTGTTCTAAATCCCTTCGAGACCATAAGTAAATATATATATATCTATAGTCCCGCCCCTCAGAGAATGCATTCAGCCGCTGGGACTGCCAATCACTGCCCGAGCCACTCGCCTTGAGCAAGTTTTCATTAATTTAATAAAGATTCTCATGGGATGCAAATCACAGAATATAAGCATTTATGTTTTTACTTTTCACCTTTTTGACGCTTTCATTGATAAGATAGTAAAAGGAAGACAAAAAATGGGGAGAAGAGGAGGAATGACGCAAGCCAGATTCAAACTTATATCACTTAAAAGAGCTACATGTCATCTCATTGTTTTACAATTCACATTCTTAGCTGTAAATCAGTAGTAGAAAGTCAGTGGGGTCGAAACAACATTAGACTTTATTGTAAGAAAAAAACTATTTAAAAATATTTTCTCTTTTGTGTTTCATAGCAAAAAGAGTAAGTATATACAGTATATAAACTCATGTAAGTTTGGAATGAAATAAAGGTGATTAAATGATAACTGAATTTTAAGTTTTTGGTGAACTATTAATTTAAATAGGCTTGAACCTGAACTCCTACTTGTCAGCCAGACATCATTTTACCAGTTGCATCGTACATACAAGAAAAATCTTGCCCTGAACTAAAAGCTTGTATAATAATAATGTATAATAATATAATATAATATCACATTCATTTAGATAGCCCATTATACAATGCAGATTGTTTCAAAGCAGATTTATACAGGAACAATTTCAGAATTTTACAGGAAAAAACTGCACTGATGTATAATTATTATATATTATTGTTTTGTTATATTATATTATATTATACTTTTTGAAGTTTTTGGATAACATTATTACAACAGATTATTAGTTCTTGTCCATTGAAATATTTATACATCATGAAACGGATGTATTGATACACATTTCTGAAATATTCAGATTTGTACATGAACTCTCTGTTAAGTATGATGCAATGTTTGTGATTTATTAATGAAAGTTATTATAAAGTGCTACCAAATCATATTGATTTTACTATATGGAATATTGTAGGAATAAAATCTATTATGGCTCATGCAGAATTCTTGAGAGTGGACTCAACTTAGGTTTGTTTATAATCTCTGATGAGTACACATGAACACCCAATATGATTGTCGGATCTGTCAGAGCATGTTAAGTATCTTTTCAGCGCTAGCAGTATCTGTCACGTGCAACATATATTCATAAATTCATGTTGCGTGTTTGTTGAAGTAGCAATGTGTGCATAAGAAATGCTATGTAAATGTTTTGTTAGCTCGTATTCCATTGCCTTGTTGAACAGGGCTGCGGTATCTTGGGAGAGGGGGATTTTTGTGCCTTCTCTCTCTCTCCTTTGCCTCTCTCCCCCTTTTCCTGTGACAGTGAGGATTTGAGGCAGAGAGCTTGCCTAAATAATTTACAAGTTGATTAATAGCCTCACAGGGGTATAATTAGGCGATGGAGAGATGGTGGCTAGTGTAACCAGTACAGTGCTTCTGGGATTTGAGAAGCCGGATTATTAAGCAAACCAAAAAATAGTCTTAGCAGAAGTGAAGAAGGAGAAGAAAGAAAAAAGAAGAGGAAGCCTCTCCAGGCTGCCTGATGTTTGAAGCAGGGCTGCAGAGATTGGCAAAGAGGCTGTGTGCGTTTGATGTGGAAATTGGACAGTTTGAAACCGTCGACTTTAATTTTTCACCAGCTGCGGGGACCCCCCTGGGTGCCAGCTTGCGCTCCTTAAAGAATGCTGTTCTATTTTCTCTTCACCCTCATTATTTGTTTGTCCTCCGCCGCTCTCGTTAATTTTCCCGCAACATTACGAGCGCCACCCTCCTCAACTGCGTGTTCCGTCGGTTTTAAGAGGTGCCATCATCCCCTTAAACAATTCGCTTATGTTGCCTGTCAGCCAGCCGTTGACTGCTTTTGTAGTATGAGAGGGACCCGTGAAATATCTTCAAAAGACAAAATGTACATACATGAATTTAGATGACACCGTGTCTACTAATTATTTATCACCTCACATCTGAATAAACCACCTTGATTTGATAGATACAAACAAAAGGCACGTCCTTGACAATTCCGCTTGATGGTGAGATCACTGATGCTTAGCATGGAGATGATGATGGTTCAGTTTTCCTCAGACCATCTCCTTAATTTAATCCTCTTAATGGGGCACTCCAGCTTTCTAGATGCCCTGCACCTCAGTTTAAGTGAAACATTAATTTAGGTTTCTGTCCGCTTGTGCCCATGTGTTTTCGAATCAGCTTCAATTAACTGTTTATTTGGTACTTTAAAGCCTTAAAACGGCATCCTATATCTGCATCTTTCATACTTCAAAAAGTTCTCATACTGTTACTTTTCTTCTTTCCATAAAGTCTTCTTCCAGTACCTGGAAGAAGTAAACAAATGAAAGGCCTTTCTCACGTCCGTTAGATCTATAACACTGTGATCTGACATCCTACAGGGAGAAACATATACAGTATTTCAAACAAATGCTAAGCAGGTGTGTTTGTGTATGCATCTCATGGGGTAAACCCCCTCTGAACACCATGTTTACTTTATATAGGATGAGTGTCATTCAAAGGACACAGCAAGTTGATTCTCAGGAGTCTGAACCTCTTGCGTCAACATTTTTGAGTTTTTTGTTTGCCTTAATTTGATGTATTCTACTCTTTGTATTGTTGTACTTCTGTCATGTAATTAGGAAGAAGGTATAAATAGGTGATAACCATATTTTCGCTGTATTTGTGGTTTAATCCATACAGTGCCATCAAGTATAGTCCTGCGGATCCTTACAGAGAGACTGAGCAGGATGGACTGTACCACGCGAGGCTGGGTGCTCCATGGCTTTCCTCAAGATGTGGAGCAGGCAGAAGAACTTCAAGAGTCTAATTTCATACCAAACAGGTATATCAGTCACTATCAACTGATTTAAATGGCTGTAAATGTTGAAATTTAGCATGTATAACTCTTTAACTGTGGAAGGCATATGACTATACAGCGATCTAAACTATTATCACAGTGATTTGTAACAATGGTTCTCAGTTGGTTTCTCATTCCCTTCTCCCTCTGAAACTACAAAAAAAAAAAAACATCTTCACTATTAGCTATTAGCATTTTTGGCATGACTGGATAGATTACCCAGTTCTGTGATTTGTGTGATAATTTACTGACCCTCATGTTGTTCCAAAAGAAGCTATTTTGAACAAATATAATTTTTGTGACACGTTAAATATCTTTGTTTTTCCAAATATCTTATGCTGCATTTGATCAAAAATACAGCAAAAAATTGTAACATTGTGAAATATTATTACTATTTAAAATAACAATAATATAATAATAATAGATTTTAAAAATGTAATTTATTCCTATTATGCCAAAGCTGAATTTTCAACAGCCATTAATCCAGTCTTCAGTTTCAGGTTTTTTGTTTTTTTTTTGCTTAATATTTTTGTGGAACCCATGATATAGTTTTTGAGGATAATTTGATGAAAAGAAAGTTGAAAAGAACAAAATGTTTTAGAATTTAACAATAACAATAAAAATTACTGTGACACTTTAATGCATCCTTGCTGAATAAACATTAATTTCTTTCAAAAAATGTTACAATGGGCAAGGAATTATGCAACTAGGCAAGCACAGTGCATTTGCATGTACAGAAGTGCACTATATATGAGAGCTGTAGGTTCGCCACACTTTGAGAACCACTGGTTTGCATCCAATTCTGTCCTGTATCGATTTCAAACTATAGATTATCTATCCACTGTGTTCCCATTCATTTACGGGTTCTAGGACCTTCACAGTGACAAACATAGATGTAAACATAGAGTAGGTGTTTAAAAAACAAAAACAATTCAGCAAATGAGATAATGAACTGCACTATGTGAATCTTTCAGATTATTATTTGTGATTTTCGTGTCTCCTCAGTTATCCTAAATAGTGAGTGTAACCACACAGCTCAGATTGCCCTCTCAGATTACCCTTAACTCAGCTGCCCTGGAGGATCTGATGGCACTTAGATTATACAACCTGTCCTCTGTGTGTGTCCCCTCATCAGAGAGCTCACTTTGAGGCTAGGTCATCAGTGAAAATAACCGTGTCCCAATTCTGTCTCCTTTGACACAGAAACAAGAGCAGGAGCACAAATCTGTGCAATAACATTAGGAAAAATGATCACCATAGGGCCTGTTTCGTATTCTGTTGTTACTCATTATGATTTTTCATCATATTCCCCATTTTATGTGCTCTCTGGAATTAAGATTGGATCCCAGAGATTAGCAAGCAGCTACGGTGTCCGCTTCCCTCGCCGCTTCTGTGTAGCAAGACCTTATTTCCTCCATTAACAGCCCATGTTGTTTGAGGTAATGGCAGGAGACCTCATTTACATAGCATTAGCGTAATTGATTCGAAGGCCCGCGGTTAGCCTGGCCCTGAAACAATGGGGAGATAATGTTTCCGATGGGCCGATGATGGCCCGATGGCGGCGCTGTACCTGACAGCTTTATTAATTAACAGCTCTCTGGTTACCAGGCTTTAGTGAGGATGAATAAGTCAGCTCCTCCTGGAGCCGTGCCAGGGCATGGGCATTTAATAGGTGTCACTGGCAGAAGGGAGAGGGGACAGAGTGCAGCAGTGTTGGCATACTGGTTAGATTGGAGGGATCCCTTTACCCATTTCCTGAAAGGGCTCCATTAACAGAGAGTCATTGCCTGCAATAAGGGAGTCACACCAGAGTCTTTAGCTTGTATTGACAAACTTTGTGTAGTTAATTATATGGTAAAGTGGATTAAAACCCAGTGGTTAGTCTTATTTTAAGAGCTTTGTTTAAAAAAAATTATAATAACATTCTTAATTTTTTTAATTCTTATTTTTTTGTAGGCACATATTTATTGTACATTTATAAACAAAAGATGGCGGCGCTGTACCTGACAGCTTTATTAATTAACAGCTCTCTGGTTACCAGGCTTTAGTGAGGATGAATAAGTCAGCTCCTCCTGGAGCCGTGCCAGGGCATGGGCATTTAATAGGTGTCACTGGCAGAAGGGAGAGGGGACAGAGTGCAGCAGTGTTGGCATACTGGTTAGATTGGAGGGATCCCTTTACCCATTTCCTGAAAGGGCTCCATTAACAGAGAGTCATTGCCTGCAATAAGGGAGTCACACCAGAGTCTTTAGCTTGTATTGACAAACTTTGTGTAGTTAATTATATGGTAAAGTGGATTAAAACCCAGTGGTTAGTCTTATTTTAAGAGCTTTGTTTAAAAAAAATTATAATAACATTCTTAATTTTTTTAATTCTTATTTTTTTGTAGGCACATATTTATTGTACATTTATAAACAAAAGGTACGAAAGCCGTCACTGGGGCGGCAGTTTTTCTAAAGGTACACATTTGTACCTTTTAGGTACTAATATGTACCCTTAAGGTACCATTATGGACCCTTTAGGTACAAAGGTGCAACTTTTGAAGAGGTAGCACCCCTTGGCAGCCTTTGTACCTTTTTTCTGAGAGTGTACTTTGGCTTTGAGTTGTTCAAATATACTTACAATAATGACCTATTTGCCTTGCTGAATATTTTGTAGTGGCTGGTGATTCAAGTAGTGGCTGTCTGTTCCAGTTAGCGCTCCGTCTATTGTCATGTAAAGGAAGTTACCTGATCCATGAAAGACGAAAGAAGAAGAAAAGGAAAAAGGTCGCTCGCTAATGAAGTTCCCTCATCAGATAAATGAGGATGCCTTTGCTCTGGTTTCTGATGGTGCAATCATCTGATCCTCTTTCAAAAGCTGATCAGTCACAGTTGGCTTTGGATGTGTGACACTTTCAATTTAGAAGGAAGTCTAAAGGAATTATCTAATGTTATGCGCAATATGAACCCCAAAGCAACGTGTAAGACCCCACATTGACCACAACATTATTTGAAGGCCCCATGATTTTCCAGCCATTTTTGATTTATTGGAAAAGGATTTTTAACTCCCACTTTTTATGATAAAATATTTCAGATCTTTACATACCTATAAAAATGTATATTAATTATTGAAGTTATAAGATGTAGTTCATTTGCATGACTTTTCCAGGTCTCGAAATTACGCTTTTAAAATTAGGCAACTTTTTAAAAACTAAAAAGTTGTTGAGTGGGAATTAAAACGAGATTATTTTTATCATCATTTGATGTTTTAGCATATTTAATTTTATATATTTTATTTACATATTTTAATTTTAATCACAATTCTTGAAACTTTTTAGGTGAATATGCTGGCTGCTCTTTTCCATATAATAATTGTGAAATTACAAAAAGGTACCATGAAAGTATTATAAAAGTTCTTAAAGCTTGTGGTCTATATTCCAAAACCTCTGAAACTGTGCAATAGATTTGTGAAACAGAAGGAACAGAAATTTGTCATCTTTTGTAAATCTTAACATCTGCCCTGGTTCATGAACAGGTTTCAGTGATTCATTCATGAATCATACTGATCCAGTTCTCGAGTTCTCTCTATTGTTTGACTACAAAAGACTTGAAATATATATCACAACTCATATAGACCACTTTTATGGTGCTTTCTTTGTAATTTTATAGTTTGACAGCTCTCATTCATTTTCATTATATGGAAAACAATGGCCATGATATTCTTCAAAAATTCATCTCTTGCATTCCACTGAATAAAGTAAGTCATAGAAGTTTGGATTGGAACAACACAAGGGTGATGACAGAATTTTCATTTTCGAGTGAACTATCCCTTTTAAATGACTATTAAATGAAAGGTTTCACAAAATAAATGAGCTTCTCTAAAGACCCATGTCCAAACCCCTCTTGCACGTTCATTCTCGGACTGTACAGCAGGTCACTGTTACTGCTTCTGTTTCGCTGATCTCACTCCCACCCCTCCTACCAGTCTTTAACTACTCTCCAGTTTGGCTAGTCATCAGCCTCTTACAGCCTTGACACGCTTGCAAACAATCAGAGTCTTTGGGAGCTTTGAAATATGCATGGCTACCTGTGACAGGTAGATAAAGAAGAGCAATTAGCCATGTAATCTAAGAGTCTGGCCCAATTACCTGCTCTCGTCCCTGCCTTGCGCTCTCTCTCTCTCTCTCTCTCTCTCTCTCTCTCTCTTTCCACCTGCACTGCGCTCTTGCTCTCTATTACTTAAATGTTTTTCATGTGTCTGCTCCCCATCAAATCAAGCAACACTTCCTCTGATTGGCTTATCAATTATACAGCAGGGGCAGCATTACAATTTAATCAGTGGTAAACATTGCTGTGGCCACCTGTAAAGAATCTTTCCCTCATTCATTTCTTAATTTGGAGAGATAGAAAGGGAGGCAGAAGGGCTGACGGGAGCGGCAACGCTCGGAGAGATCGGATGGACCGAGACCTTCTTGGATCACTTCAGCTCAGCAAGTAAACTGAAGAACAAAAGGGTCAAAGGTTACCATCTACTTAATGTATACCGTATACGAGTGGAAGAATAGAAATGCACACACACACACACACACACACACACACCCACATATATATACTAATGGCAGGATATGCTTGCGCGGTTCGTGATCATTTGTAGCAGCTGAAGACTGTCAGGCTCTTGTTATCTGCCTTGTTTTAGTCAGTCATTTGTTAGAGGATCTCCAGCTGTCATGTAAGAAACATCTAATGTAAATCAATTCATCTTGTACAGCTCCCCCCACATAAAAAGTGGGAGAATAAGAAGACGAACACAAGAAGCCACCCTCCCATCCTCCTGCCTCAGATACAACGCACCATCTTTTTGCTCCTCCACATTTATAAATATTTAATGAGGAAGCATAAATATTAATTCTAATAGCTTTTGCAGAGTAGTTATTATTTCTTTTTTAAGACAAATATTCATAAAAAATTGAGAGAAGCCTTTTTCTGAAATAATTAAACCTACGCACACAGACACACATATACACACACATTATCATGGCTCTTAAACACATCAAATATCTTTCATTTTCAGTCCAGACTAATAGTCAGTTAAAGCACCATGTCTCCTTTGTCCATTTCAGAGGGCCCAGTGGTTCACAGTGGTACTGAGAGCCAGGAACACAAAGACATTTAAATATTTAATCAAAGCACCAACTTAGATCTCTCCTTACTATTCTCACCCCTTTTTGTGGAAAAGGTCTCATGATGTAAAATTCCTATTGGTCTTTATCTATAGCTGAATTGGTCCAGAATTACATTTCACAAAAATCTCAGTCTGTGTAAAATGTTTAGGTGGCTAAAAATTAAATAATGTGGAAGAGGCTGTGAGGTTCCCATCCTCTGGAGGCCTGGATGAAATCATTTGGGACAAGAATGGCATGTCCTAACCCCCA